GCGCGCATGGCGCTATAATCACCCAATCACGTTTTCCGAAAAAACTAAACGTAATATCTCAATACAAAAACAAACGCAAATATTTAATTTTAAACAGACAAGTCCTTTCAAGTCATCTGTCTCAAGCTTAAGTCAAGTCTCAAGTCATGAATACCAAGTCAAAGTCAAGTCAAGTCTTTTATCAATGTTAGTCAAGCAAGTTTCAAGTCAAAAAATATGCGACTCGAGTCTGACTCGAGTCAAGTCATGTGACTCGAGTCCCCACCTCTGATGAACACTAATATTAAGAACAATACAAATGACTTATTGGTCTTAGTATTGTCATTAGCTTTTACAAATCTATTGTAATCAATGGAGAAGATACCACAAATGTGGACAATTTGGTTTAGGGTAAATATACTCTTCTTTATTTTGTGTTCATCTAACAATATGTGCACAGTTGAAAGAACCTGTTAAGCCCCACGGACCCTTCGGCGGGTCCGAAACCACAACATCTGCAAGCAACAGTGTCTGAGGGCTTCTTAAGATTTAATAAACGATGAATGTTTCATATCCATGTAACGGGAAGACACTCAGCTAACTGATGATTTTTTTTATTTTTAGCAAAAAGAAACACAAGGCTAACGCTGAGCCTCTGAATTAGCCCTGAGCGAAAAAATGCTAACGCCGTTAGCACAGAACTCACGGTATAACACCCTTATTACGTATCGTAACTGCACATCCAACATATCGATTAGCATCGTGAGATTACACAGAATCGATAGGTATCTATATCATCACTCCATGATCAGAACTCGCGACATTAGAAACAAAAACAGACATCACAACACGTGGAATTAGGTAGCAAACACGGCAACATGTCTTACCTTTGTTGTTGTCTGATCAAAAGTTGTCTTCAATGGCATTAAAACGATAAAAACGCTGCTGAATGTTAATCCATAGGTTAATCCAATGTGTCTGTGTCACTTTGAAATGATTTCTGATAATCCATCAGCAATAAACCTAGTTTTAAGTTTTCAGATTTCAGAACGTAAGATAGGTTTCGCTTTTGGCAAACTGCCCCCACTTCTCAATGGTAACGTTGGTGTGTATGTGGAAATTCCCCTTCGATTCTATTGGCTCTAACGGTTCAAAAGAGATGTCAATCATCAAAATCGAATTTCCACCCAAATCACCCCAGAGGTGGAGTTTCTTTTTCTAAACCTCTCTAAAAAGGTCAAATGTCACTTGTTTTGCATCAATCTTGATACAGGGTACTTTTTATATGTTGTACTTTGGATTCCTAAAGCTTTTAGTCTACTAACCCATCATCCAAGGGTAGTTTTCACTATAAGTAAAAAATATTTTTTGGACGGACACTATAATTTACATTTTTTTACTATGTTCAATCTGAATTTTCTTTAAAATAAAAAACATCTATATTGATTCTGACTTCTCTACATCCAACTCACAGGTTTATCATTACTTTGAGAAAAAAGATTATTAATTTTCCCCTTTTAGAAGGGAAGATATGGTCATTTGTTCTGGGAATGCCATTCTTCATCCAGTGGAGCTGGGGCCGCTCAATGTGGCCAGGCAACTGAGGAAGAGGAGGATCCTGGGCAGCCTGGCACAAGTAGCAGCACCACTACACTGGATGAAGAGCCATCCACCTCTCTCTGTCCCCCGCCTGCCAAGAAGAACAGGGCAAGTAGGAGGGCCCTCCTGGAATTTTTAAAAGAGGAGGCCAGTAAGGAACAAGAACGTTTTGAGGCCAATCAGGCAAACACAAAAACGTTTTGGGAACTTTTTGAAAGATTTGTCAACAAAATGATTTTGTTTTGATTATACGTTTTTGCAACGTTTTTAATTTTTCCTTTTTCATACACTTTCTGTTTGTAAAAATTGTTTTATTCATTTATTTTGAAAACATGTTGTGAAAATTGGGCTTGAATATAATCAAATCCTTATTATAAAAAAAAATGTACACTACACAAACATCTTTATTACAAACTCAGTGTATGAAGGCACACAGCTTTACTCACAGTGTGGTGCCCAAGGCCTTCGTGTCCCCAAGTTCTATAAATAGTATTGGTCTTGCAGTTCTACTGGGTGCACACGAGGAGCAGAGAGCAGCCCTGCCAGTCTGTCTCACTGGCCATGTCCGCCCTGTTCCCCCCTCACCGGACGTGGTGGAACCACACCAATGTCCCCAACATCCTCTGCAGGCTCCAGGATGTCCCCAAGCGGTGATGACTGAGGGGACAAAGGTGTGGTTGACCTCCAGAGCCTTGGAGAGCAGCGATCTCCACCTAGTTTTTATCATGCCAAAGGCCCGCTCTATGATGGAGCGAGCCCTGGCATGATGCTGGTCGAAGCAGCTCTGCACCCCCCCTTGCAGTGGTTCTTTATATGGGGTGATGATGGCCACATGTCCTTCTATGCAGGGGTAGCCACCATCAGCCAAAATGAAGAATCCTAAAAAGAGAGAGAAAATATTTATTATACTAAAAGTCATTGATGGATTTTGATGTGTTAACAAGAATCTTTGGTCTCCCCTGAGGGAGGATACAGAGCCTCTTTGTAGATTCTGCTGTTCTTCAGGACTCTGGTGTCATGGACTGAGCCAGGATACCCAACAAAGGTGTTGAGAAAGAAGCCCTTCTCATCACAAACTGCCTACAATTGTATGGATGGGATGAGCTTTCTGTTGAGGTAATCCTGGCCATGAGGTCCTGGGGGGGTCTTTATGCGGACATGGCAGCCATCAATGGCCCCCACACACCTGGAGAATACTGGGCTGTTGGCCAGCCTTGCAAAAGCTTGGCCAACCTCCTCCAGTTCTCCAGGGGGGGGGGGGCAGTTTGATGACCTCCTGACGTAGGGCTGCAATCTTTTCTACTCCAGTGTGTACCAGTCTGCAGACGGTAGACTTGGGGACATCAAAGGCCCGGGACACCACACTGTACGATAAGCCGTGTGCCAACCAATAAATAGTAATTAAAATATGTGCCTCATGTGACCAGCCTTGTGTGTTCTTTCAAATCAAATCAAATCAAATCAAGTTTTATTTATAAAGCACATTTAAAAGCGATTTTTGGTCGAACCAAAGTGCTGTACATGTAATAAAAACACATTACTACAATCACAATAAAAGACAATAAATTACAACAGATATATATATAAAAAAAAACACAAGGAAAAGTCAGGAGTCGTGCTCCGCTCTAACTAGAAGGCCAGAGAGAAGAAGTGTGTTTTTAGTGTAGATTTAAAAACCCCTAGGGTCTGGGCCGACCTCACATGGAGGGGCAGAGTGTTCCAGAGCCTAGGGCCAGCTGCTGCGAAGGCTCGGTGCCCTCGGGTTTTAAGCCTGGTCTTGGGCACTACCAGCAGCAGCTGGTCAGCAGACCTTAAAGCTCTGGCTGGGGTGTAGCGCTGGAGGAGTTCGGCTATATAGGCCGGAGCCAGCCCATTTAGTGCTTTAAAAACAAATAAAAGGATTTTAAAATCAATTCTGAACCGAACTGGAAGCCAGTGTAGTGAGGCCAGAATAGGGGTGATGTGGTCGCGCTTTTTGTGGCCAGTCAGCAAACGTGCAGCTGCGTTTTGGACTAGCTGCAGGCGTTTAATTGAGGCCTGGTCCATACCCACATACAGAGCGTTGCAATAGTCCAGTCTTGAGGTAACAAAGGCGTTAATAACCCTTTCTAAGTCATTAAAAGATAAATACGACTTGGTTTTGGCCAATAATCTTATTTTAAAAAAGCAGGATTTGACTACGGTGCTGACCTGCTTGTCGAATTTAAAAGTGCTAGTGAAGGTCACTCCAAGGTTCATGACAGAGGGGAGGATGTTTTGATGACAGGATCCTCAGCAGGGCCTCCAGTGACTGGCGCCCCAGTCCGTAGTGTTGGGGAAAATATTTTCCTGGGCCCATAACTTTGACCTAGTTTATCAGTTTGTCCTGCCCTCACTGAGCACAGGCACCTGTAACCTTGGGTGCTGCTCTCAGTGCTTTGTCTTCCTGTTCCTGCCTGTTGGCGTCAGCTGATAGAGGTGTTATGGTTTTATCTTGTTATGCACAATGTTGATTCTTCTCTCTAGAACTAGCTAAATACATGGGTCTGGGGTAGAGATCTTCAGAATTGGTTTGGCAACCACTGTCACCTCGTGGCTGCAGCACTTGTGAATTCTCCGGCCGAAGCTCCAAATAAACCGTCAGTGTTTGCCATCAAAGTTCCTGCTCTCCCCGTGTCTCTCTGAGTTTCGTCTCCATTGCTATAGAGGTTTCCATCACAAATCCTACTTGAACTTCAATAAAACGTATCCAACGATGTAGTGATATACAGTAGTTACTGTCACTAAAAGGTGTGACTGCTGTGTCACTAAGTTATTTTAATATCACCGGAGCTGGTGTCAAGGGCAGAAGACGAGATAAGGCAGAGCATGAATATTCATATTTCATTTTCAAGATAAACATGTGTGTTTGCTTACATTTTTTCAATGATTGAGACACGTTCTTTGCATGTAATTGAGTTGCCAGAACACATAAAGAAGCAGCAAAATAGAGCTTATTTACCAAATGATTACCCGGGGTGAATCCTCTCAGTGCCCATACAGAGGTCCAGGTATCCTGAATACTACTTTATTGCTCTGCTGGGCCCAAACCGGGTCCGGATAATGGCAATGCCCCCGAAATGCGAATATACTTTAACTATGTTGTTTTCAGGTTAGTGAAATTCAAGACGCACATTTTTTACATAGATAGGAAGATATGCTTTGAATAAATCAGCAAGATCAATAAACTGATGTGCCCGTGCCACATTTTAGTTTTTTTTACCTTGGGCCCGCAAATAAAATGCCCACCCATGGATTTTGGTTTTGATACCACTGATGATCAAAAGGTCATCAATGACAGTTACATTAGACTCTTTATCATATGACCTAATTGGTTGTATGGTCTGGGGTTATTTTAAGTCTTAGAACGTAAAATAACAATATCAACGAAGCACAAACCTAAATGGAAGTTCATTTTTTTTTATTTGATATTTACATTATCACAAACAAAAACACTTGGAAGTCAAACAAAGAGTGGTTGAGGGTAAGAGGGGGAATGGCAGCAGAACACTGAAAAAATGTAAACGTTGACTTTAAATGCATTATGTCAACAGATTACACATAACTTAAATAGGTTAGTTGAAATAACATAAGCAATAACATTAAGTTGAACCTAATATTTTTAATTTAAACTTAATATTATTGCTTTTACCTAACCTAATACAATTATGTGAAATCTGTTGACATATACCATTTTTTCAGTGAAAGAAACCTTATGAAAGAAAGAACACATTCAATCTTGTCCCATACTACTCATCCATATGTGTGCAAAGCTCCACATTCCATACACAAATCTCAGTTAGTAAACGGGGAAAGTAATTTGGTAGTATTTTGTTTTTTAAGCAGCAATAGCTATGTGGCAGTGGACAGACACACAGAGGGGACAGTCAGTCTCACAGCTCTTAGTCTGCGTTTACCAGCGGAGTATACAAGTATGCTGCATCGTCCGCTTCATAGATGATGGTCACCGTCTCTCCAGAGTCTGACACTGCTGCACTGCTCTGAATGTAAGCCTGAGGAAGAGGAGACAGAGGTAATGTTATTTTTTCAAATACAAATTTGCATGGTTTGTTTTAATGGAGGGTTCGGTATCTTTCAATTAAATAATACAATAGAGTGGAGCAGGACTGATTCCTAAAACGCGGTAATGAGTTAGCATTTTACCACTTTTAAAATAAGGTCTGTGGAAAACAGATTTTCACTTGATGTTTTACAACCTAAAGGATTTAGGAATGAGTTTTAAAACCCGGTAATGAGTTAGCATTTTACTACTTTCAGTTCCCTCGTCTCGAAGTCGTCAGTTTTTTATTGTGCCTTTTTTTGTGAGATTTTTACGTTTTGTCGTGCGAATAAAATAAGTCAGTAAACCCCACTGGTCTGAAGCTTCTATGCGTCTTAAAAACAGAGTGACTAAATTAAATAAATACAAATTAGACTACGAAACGTCATCACGAAGAACATTAGCTGCATTTAGCTTAGTGGTGGTGACATGTCATGTGGCCGTGATTTTTGTTAACTATAGCCTGTTATTTACAAAAAGTGCAAATATCATAAATCGTGTGTCTGCTTCAGAGCTTATTTTCAGAAGTATTTCGAAATAATAAAAAAAAATCCACTGCTTTTTAATCGAGGAATTTAAATCTGGACTTATTTTGTGTAAAACTTCACCTTCTCCAGCAGCTGGAGCCGCTCCTCGTTCAGCAGGTTGTTCTGCCTCAGCTGGCTGACGGTGTTCTCCAGGCCCAGGAGTTTCTCCAGGTGTCGGCGGTGTCTCTGCTGCAGCACCTTCACCTTCTTCTGCAGCTCGGACACGATGGCCTCCAACTGCTCCTTACTCAGACTGTTCTTATGGTAGCTGGCAGGTAAACAAGACGGAGAGATCGGAAAAACTGTCATCAGGGGGACTCAGATCTTGTACATATGTAGTACTGCAAATTATTACAGTGTAGTAATACTATTTTAAAAGTTAAAGTAAGAGTACAAAAGGTATCCGAAGTGTCAAAAGTAAAAATACTCATTCTGCTGAACATTGTGTCGGAGAAAAATGTACTTTATATTATTGTGTTAGAATGATTGAGGCATTGATGTGATCATCAATTTGATTTTGCTGGTTGGTACATCGTGACATTTTAATATACTACAATGTCGCTTGTGAATTACACTAAAATCTATAAAAAAATATTACTGATAATGTGATGATTAAATTATGTATAATAAATCTTAATCTTAATTATACATTTATTACATGTTTATTCTTTTGGTTTTCCTTTTTAATGTGGTTTTAGCTATTTTTTTTGTTTAGCAATATTTCAATCATTGCTTTTTATACTGTCTTCTACATAGAATATTTGTTTTTGCTATTGAAAAACCCATTAAACAAAGTTTAGAAGTAAATATAACTGTCATATAAATCATATGAATAGTAAATGTACTTAAATACTGTCCACCAATGGCTGTAATACAGAGAGAGAATATAGGACATAAAAGAATGGAAACGGAAGTGCTCTTTAGTCGTATTTTAAATAATGGAATGTCGATATTTAGTTATTAAATGTTTGCTGTATTTTTAGTTAAGTTGCCATCTAAAACTGCTGATCCCATTCCAAATCTAAATACCGACATAAGAGTCTCACCAGTGCTCCTCCAACTGCTGCTCCGTGGCGTCCTCTTCTGACATGTCGTCGTCTCCCTCATCTGTGTCCTGTCTCTCCATGGTGAGGACCAGGGACTCGGGGGAGGGGGGCAGGTGTTTGGACACTATGGGCAGAGTGGAGGAGATGGGCTTGGAGCTCAGAGCGGAGGACAGCATAGTGTCCGGGGATAAGGAGGGCAGGGCGGGGTTCTCTGCAGGGAGAGCGCTTGGTATCGCCTCAAAGTAAGCGATGACTTGAGTTTCATGTCCTCCGGTGATTTCCTCTGTGGCAAAAGTCACACCTTTAACCCCGAGGGGGGGTACACCCTCACCTGAACAGCCCAGTGTGGAGACGTTCATGACCAGCCCGTGGCCCTGAGTTAAAAGTGCAGCGGTGATTCCACTCAGGAGCTCCTCCTGCCCTTCACCAGCAGGGGACTCAGACATCACCACCACCTCTCCGCTGTTACTCACGTCATTTACCGTCTGGAATAAAGTTAACGGGAAATTAGCTGCCGTTTGGAATCCGTCCCCGGTTAAGTCTGAGCGCCCAGGTTCTTCAACATCACTTAGCTCCACCAGGTTGGTTCCCCCCCCTCTGGTGCGGGTCCACAGTGATCTCGTACAGGTGTACCGTTTGTAACGTGCTGTCCGTCTCCACTGCTGTGCTTTGATGACTGTTAGCTCGAAGCTGTTTCGGATTCCTCTCACTGTGATCTGTGGCTTCCCGTTTCTACGAAGAAGAGAAACAACATGAAGCTTATTACATTTAAGTTTGAGCAACTGCAGTGTCACAATCAATACTCTTTCCTACCACCTATAGAGACCTTATCACCATTTGCCAAAGCACAATAAGTCCATATATAATAAATATAACTAAATAATCAATTCAGTTCTAATTTAATAACTTTCTATTTTGTATGAATTATTGTACTACATTTCAGTAGATAACTCAACATCTTGTCACAATTTACAAAAAAGAATCCTCCTCTTCCTGTTTTCATGACTCATGACTCTGACCTATAAATGAAACTAACATTCTAAAAAAAGTCAACATTAAAATTGTAGGAAGTGTTAAAAATACACTTCCAGCCCAGGCAGTCAGCAATAACCTTCAGTATTTTGCTTAAAGATGGCAATATAATGACTTGCCAATATTGTGCAGCCCTACATTTTGAGACTCAGCCGTGTGTTTTATCTCCACCTCCTGGAAGATGGTGGGCACTGCGTCGCTCTCAAGGTAACGGATGCCCCATCGCACCTTGAAGCACGAAGGCGTGAAATGCTCATGGCAAATATACTGGTGTCGAGAGGGGGTCCAGTTCCCCCGCCTCATGTTGCTCAGCCACTGTTGCAGCCGGGCCGGGTCCTGCAGAGGGAACCTGGGAGACAATAGAGACCACACAGGTGAGACACCGGTCCCACTCAGGCTACTTGCACCCTTAAACTGAATTGATATTGAGATTATGTGAAATCTATCAATATGAATAAAGAAAAGCTGCCTCTCTGAGATGGAAATAAGAGCGTCCGAGCTGATCAGGTGACTGACTGACTCTGTGGACTCGGCACATTGTGGCTTCTGCCGCTACACTGGGGCAATACAAACCAACCGTAGTAAATGCTTGGCTGCATTTGGTTACATTTTATATTGAAAATGATATTTTGTGAGGTTGACTGAATATTAGATACACTTTTTGAAATTATACTCTCAGAGCAAGAACAGTTTCTGGAAAGCTTGTTGAGATATATTGTTGACACGTGTCTATTCTACAGGACAGGTTTCAATTTGAATGTTGTGAGAATTAAAGAGTTGTTTTATAATGTCCGTGGTGCATTCGTGTGATTTCATTTTTTTAAATTTAATCTTTCACTTTCATGCATTAACTACGTTCATTTCCCCTCTGTGGGACTAATAAAGGTATTCTGATTCTGATTATATATTCATTTGCATTTATGCATATCATCATATTCCTTCTCCACTAAATATTACAGTTTCATTTCACTGTATTTATTTAGCTGCTTTTAACATTTAATAAAAGATATATGCAGTAGTCTACTTTTATTTTCCCACAAGTATAAAAAGTGTTTATGATTGGCAATAACTTAAAATGCCCAATCATTTAATTTGTTCTGATACAAACAAAATGCTTTCACTCTTGATACTTTATGTATATTAATTATATGTGTGTACTCTTACTTAAAGGTGGGGTAGGTAATTTTGGAGAAACCAGCTCGAGATCGCTAGAATTTGAAAATACACAGCCGGAGAAAATCTGCCACTTCCTTACGGACCGTCCACACAGCAGCGTTAAAAAAATCTTGAAACGCTTCTGCCCATTCACTTTGAATGGGATGACGTCACTTTGCCTCACTTTTCGCCGAACTGCATTGTGGGCAGGCGAGCGGAGATTTTCAGGATTTTCAGGATTCAAAGTTGAGCAATGTTCAACTTTTGAAGCTGAGGTGGAAGCATCAGCCAATCAAATCCTGTGTATGCAAATCTGACAGTTCAAGCGCTAGCCAATCAAACCGCGTGTATGCTGGGAGAGACATACCGCAGGTCATTTCCTCATATTCCAAAAAATGGAGGAGAAATTAGCGGTAGGGAATCACCCGGTGCTTTATGACCAGACCCTATTTACCTACCGGGATATAAACCGGAGGAGCCAGGCATGGAGGGAGGTGGCAGAGACAGTGGTATGTTTTCGCCTGTTTGGGGAGTTTATATCCAGTTTACTTCAAACTTTTTTGCTTCGTATGTCGGGGGCGGGAGATTCATGTGATTGGTTGTTGGTGCCTTGCTCGCAAAAAATCCCCAAGCTTCAGATACGCCCACCTCCAAGATTTTTTTAACGCTGCTGTGTGGACGGTCCGTTACAGAGCTCCTCCTCCAACACACACGAACGCGCACATGACCAATGAGGGCACGAGATAAGTTTGTGCACAGATGGAAGGCTGACAGGCAGGTAGGCCATCCAGTTACTTTAGCCGGGCCGGCTAAAATGATTGGTCGTGCTTTTTACAGTACTACGGCTTCCACAGATGACATTTTTTTATGTATTTTTTGTCAAAGCACTTAAGATATTCATTGCTATCGGGATGTTAAGAGCATTCCATGGAATATAACAAAAAGTGTATCTCGAGCCGGTTTCTCAAACTTACCTACCCCACCTTTAAGTGATATTTTTTATTTAGGTTTTTTTTATTTGAAAAACAGTACATTTTTTAGTATGGTAATTTCTACTTTAAGTCGGGGATCCGGCATTCGTGGAATGTAACTGATTTCCTTTAATTACTTTAATGTATTTTTTGTAATAATTAAATTGGGGATGGATGGTTTAACTAAACAAACAATTTAAACGTTGTCACTTTGGTTTGTATAAGTGTCGTCATGATTACCAAGAACCCAAACTGTCAAAGATGTATGGAAAAAGATCTTTAGATTGATTCATAATGGAAACAATCCATTAGTTGCAGTATTAACAGAAATATTTAAAAACAAGGTCCATCTTAAACTACAACTTATAGAGTTTATGCACAAGTAACAGTAATCTAATAATATATATATATATATATATATATATATATATATATGCTCCGGGGCATTTTGATATTTACTTTTACTATTTAAAGTATAATTTCCTGAATATATTTACATCATTTTACTTCAGTATCATTTTTGAATGCAGGAATAATATACTGTTTACTTCATGTATTTTGCAGTCTGGTATTAGTACTTTGACGTGAGTAAAGGATCTGAATACTTCCTCCACCACTGCTCATTGTCCCAGCAGTTGTTCCTGTCTCTGAATCAGCTCCAGGATTAAGCTGACCTCAGTCTGTCTTCCACCAATCCACAAATATAAAACTAAAAAGCACATGTTCAGAATGGGAAAGTAAAACATATTAAATGACCTGTCAGTAATCCCATTCAGCACACAGACTGGTTTACAGCCTCAAATCATGATTGACTCAGGACAGCGTCAAGACAAGGCGACACACTCAACAGGTCATCAACATTCTGATATTTAGTTTTAATGACTGCAGTGATTTTTTGACTTAGCATACAGTCAAATGGATGTGATGAAAGAATGACACATCTGATAGGAACACTTCCCTTAAAGTGAGAGATGACTTGACGCTCATAGCAGCGCTAACTAACTGACACTAACTATCAGTCTAACACGGACATTAAGCAGCTCACTTGTAGAAGCTCTTCCGGTCTCCGCCGGGCCCGGACTCGTTCCTGCAGTTCGGTACCGAGCAGTACTTCGGCATTTCCGCGGTGCTGTCTAAGGTTCACCCTGTCCAAGTAACTTCACAACAAGGTGAAACTCGTGCAGTGTGTTGTCAACGTGTGGCGCATAGCTGACGACTGGCGATCAGCTGTTCAGATTCATGAGGTAAATTAAATGCGACTGTCGTGAGAAAAGCCCCCGGGAAGTACGCCGGACGTTGAAGCCGGTTTTTTAATGTCCGTAGTGGCCAAACAGTGGCACTACAGCTTCCGTGACGTCATTTTGGCCCAAAATTACTTTTAGCCAATTGACTTACATTGGGAAAGAGACGTATGTAAATCAGCGTAAACTTTTTGAGCTAAATCTACTACCTAGCACGAATATTTGTATAGCCATTATTTTAATCATTGGGGTCTAAGAGTTGTAACATGCGCTCAGAGCTGAATCGGGGCTTAAGGAAAACGTAAGTGCGCATATAGCCAAAAGGCCCCGGATGATCCGGGTACTTTCTGAATTCCTAGTCACTACATTTTGGGCTTCATGCCCACTGAGCAACTATCATAGCCATCCTATGATGAAGCTGTATCCAGTGCTCTTTATACATCCATGGTGCTGGTGGTAAAGTTATACAAATTGCAGTGTTAGAAATCATATTTAGGTGTTTCACTGTAAAAAAAAGTAGCAATACAACAGTATAAAAGTAAAAGGAGTCACGATATCGCCATAAACTGTTATTGCTCAGGTTGAACCCGCCCCTGCCCCTGCCTCCGACGTAAGCGTGACGCAGGGGCGGACTGGCCATCTGTAGAATCTGGAGAACCACAGAACAACAGGGTTATGGCTAGAAAGGATCCGTCTTGTGTAAATTCGACGTCACGTTCTCGTTGTAATCGGAGCGGCTCGGAAACACATCTACAGCAGTAACATGCAACATACACATTAATGCAGCAGCAATATTAATAGAGAAACATCAGACATAATAGTAAAACACTGAAAGGGAACATTTTATTGCACCAGGAGCTATCTTGGGACTTTAACTGCGACAACGTTGACTTGCCTGTGAATAAAAAATAAACCATAGTGTTGGTGATCTACAGTGTTGCCATTCTTCTTTGAACAGCAAGGCCGCTAACACCCTATTTCAACAATCACACTCCCTTTAATTGACATAATTAATAGATAGTTTAGCCATTTGCTGTGGCCCACTGATGTTAACGATCGTAACTGAAAGGCTGCCTGCCAAACGTAAACATTCAGCCACGTGACTTGCAAACTCTCGCGAGAGTTTTACACAAGACGGATCCTTTCTAGACATAACCCTTTAATTGCTCCTTTGAATGTAATTTTCCTCTGTGGTTTCCTACACATTTTTGTATTGTAATGCCACTCATATTTTATTTTAAGGTGACATTGAATGTTTTGAAAGGTGCCCTAAAATAAAAAAAAGTGTATTATTGATCTTATATCTGTGCCTATATCACACTATTAATGTTCCTTATTTTAGACTAGGTTAATCCTGGTGTCAATAGGGAATATCTGCACTGTTCTCTATATAACATGTTCAGCAGAGCAGGTATTTCTCCTGCCAGATATGGCAACCCCCCTACAACTTTGTCCAGGACAGTCACAACGTCACCAAAATCACACTGGTGTTGCCTTTTCCCCTCTAGTTTGTGCTCTCAAAAGCATTTTACTCTGGGCCCAGCAAGTGAAAAACTAAAGAGGGGCTTCCATATCCGGCAGCCACAACACCTTCTGATTTACATACATCTCTTTCCCAAAGGTGAAAAAGTGGCCCCGGGTCGGAACTAGGCCTAGTGGAAGCGCAACCAAAAACGGGCCCGGCACGACACGGCACGCTTAAACCGCGCCATGGTGGAAATGCGCCATAAGTCAATGGGTAAAAGTATTTTTGGGCCAAAATGACGTAGTGGCAAATGCCATAGTAAGGATGGATGATAGGCTAACTTAAAAAAAAAAAAAAAAAGTGCCATGCGATCTACCCACACTTCGACGTATTGGGCATGTAAAGACCGACAATTTGTTGGTGCTTGCTTGGTTAGCACCGGTTTTCGGTGCTTAGAGCCGGATCCGCTACGGTGTGAACGAGAAAAACCGGTGCTTATCAGGGCTCTATCTCCGAACCGGCCCTGGAACCGCATTGGTGTGAAAGGGGCATAAGAGGAACTTATGTTACTACCGTATATGTATCGCCCATTCAACAGTGAATTTCATCACAGGATTATATTACAATAAAATGTAATTATTGATCATATTTTAGTATTATTATTTTGAAACTCCAAAGTAACCAAAGGCTTTACATTCATGTATTGAAGGCAAAATTACAATATCTTCCTTTGATAGCAGTAGAAATTGTTTCAGAATATGGAAATCCTCTAGTGAAGCACAAGTACTTTAAAATTGTATTTAATTACCTTAATTCAATAAAAGTTACTATCCACTGCTGTACATTTGTGTAGTAAATGTAAAAGAACATTGATATAAATAGGGATATTTAAGCCAAACGTGCAGTGCCTGGACACATTAATTTGGGAATCTGGAAGTATCTTGTGTGCTTACTCACCCACAAACTTAAAATAAAAATGAACCTGAATATAAGCTTGATGTGTCCCCTTCAACATCTTTAAATGTGCTGAAGCAAACCCCTGGCCAAAAGGAAACTGTTAGGCAATATTAAATCGACATAAATAAAGATTCCAACTTATTTCTAAAATCACTGGACTGGATTTTTTTATTCAATATTTTTTTCCAAACATTACACGGAATCTTTAAATGATACAGTATATATACATACACATCAGTGTACTTCTTTATCTAAAAAGTTGAGGGCCATTAGACAATGCAGCTGTGCGTTTCAAGACAGCATTGCATTTTGGACGTTTGTGTAAATCCACACATGGGTTACCAGGAGTTAAACGTGTACGGGAGACTTAAGAGTGCCATCAGTGTTTGCCTTACACCGAAGCTGGTTTAGAGAGTAGACTGTGCGGGAGCTTGTGTGAGTGGCACAATGATGGTGGGGGATGAACACATGGAGAGCAGCAATATCTTCCTCAACAGGAAGCAGTGCAAATTAAATGTTACCAGCTACATGACCGTACCAACTAAATACACTACTAATGGCAGACATCACCTTTAAGAGTGTACCCAGAGACAATCAAACTATTTGAACTGGGGTCAAACATCTAATCACTTTTGTATTCCTGTGAAATAAAACATGAAGTGACACTGTAGGGTAGTTAGAGAAACACTAATAGACATGCTGCTCTTAACCCAGTTAACAATCCTCTGAGCTGTGTACACAGGCCAAAAGCACAATGCTAGTTTTCAGAGTCACGAGACGCAACACTCCTTGTAAAAACTGAACAATCAATTTCATTACAGATCTTTGGTACATATCAGCTTTTTGATCCCATCTGCTGAGTGTATCGAATATTTTTTAAAACCAAGCAGCTCCAAGGAGACTCATCTGAAAGGTTCTTACCAGGTGATGGAACACATGAGAGAATGAACAACTGAGGTGGAGATTTTTTCCAGTTTTAACTGATAACATGAAGGAGCAGAGCCAGTTCTGGACTGGTGTGAGTGATCTCTTCCATCTGAACTACGCCACATTATTTTCTGTACACAACTAACTGAAGTTTGTCGGTGGGGGAGAGGGATCCCGTAGGGCTAATCATGAGCATGTCCGAGCACTTTAGGGAGTGTAGAGTGGTGGCTGGGATGGTTCAGGTCAGATGGGAGGTCTTCAGTGTCACAGACAGGTTAGCGCGGCCTCTACATCATCCCCATCTGCATTAGCGAGTTAGCATACGCCATGGGCTTGACATTCGGATGAGGCTGTAAAGGAGAGCGAGACAACCATTAGATAAAGCTTCAACAAGATAAATAAGCTTTAAAATAAATCATTAATAGCCTTTTGGATAGTTAACCAACACACAGAGGTAATTTATCTGTTTTTACTATGTTTCATTAACTCAGCCAAGAACATTTTTATTGTCCGTTTGTTAGAGAATCTGTCAAACGAATACGGCAAAACTACCGACCGGAATTATTTATATTTAAAAAAAAAATTAAAATGTATTCTCTTGCTGTATCGTTTATAGTAAATGTATATTAATTTAGTGTTAATCAAATTCATTTAAGTTGTTTTTTATGCTTTTATTTGAAGGCAGCTTTGGGCAAGCGTGATCAGTTATTTATGAATTGTCATTGTACTGTAAGATATTGGATCATTGGAATACACTGCACAAAGATGATGTTCTTGCCTGGACTTTGGATCTTTTCCCTTTGTAAGTTTCGCTAGCTAGTGCCTCAGCGGTATTTTTTTATGTTCAATTTCTGTTTTATTTCTTTATGATTTTGCCACTAAACTGATTTTCAGAAAAACTTGGAAGGGCCAAGAACGAACCCATACGCCTTGGACAAGTGGCAAAATATTCATAACTGAAATGGCTTTGTAATGTAATGTGTCATTACAACTGAAGTTTAGAATAAGTGAACTGCTTAGCTAGAATGAATACAAATCCAGGTTAGCCAAGTTAACGCTAAGGTAATTGGGCCACACCGGACCAAATTAAACCAAACTCTTAGTAAATGGCACTATAATATGCTGAGGGCTAACCAAAGGTTCAAAATGTTTACAATGACATTCTTTGGTAGATTATTAACAAAAACAAATAATGATAAAAGATAGTAACATATGACCCATATAACAACATTTATAAACAATTGTAATAAATACAAGAGTTTAGAGTGCAGGATACTGACAACAGCAGTGAACTGGTGAAATTCTGGCTTGAGATCTGATCCCCTGAGGTGGATGTATGCTCCTTTGTTTCCCATCTGATCACTGGGGGAAGGCAGAAGAAACAGCAGTTCAAGTAAGCAGCTTTAATAACAGCTGAATCGACACTGAAGTTAGCCGGTAGGAGTACGTACCAGTAGTTGGGTGCCGAGAACACGGTGATGCACTTCCCTGAGTGAGTGACCTCGTAGCCCTCAGTTTTGACCTCGTGACTTCGCACGATGAAGTCCAGCTTATTCTCTTCCAGGAAACGCTCAGTCACATCCGGCCCGAACTGACAGCTCACTCCTCGCTTGCTGACTGACCGGCCATTCTGCATGACGG